GGTTCATTCCAAGATACATTACAAATAATATGCATTAAGGTAAATTTTAAAAATGGTGCTTAAAGAAACCTAGAAAATGAAGTGCCTCTAAGTCTATTAGTCTATTTTCTATCTTTTGATCTACTAATACCTGCAGACAGCACTGCTTGTGTATCCAGCTAACTGCAGCTGCCTGCAGTTCTGCTGTCCTGAAAGCACCATCTTAATGTTAACTGTCAATGCTTTTTCAGGTTACTGGCTGGAAAAAATAGGAATTATCTGGGTTCTTGAGCTCTGGACTTTCCGGAATGGGTTACTAGATCCTCTGCAGTCTCTGCACTCAAGCCTGCACGTCTGAATTCTGCTCGACTGCAAAGTGCTTCTGGTAACTGCCAGCATTCTGCCAGGCCTGCTGTCTGTTCTTATCCCGCAATGGCAACTGGGATGGAAGATGCAACATTTGCTTAGTGGTGTAAAGTGCTCGGTCTTAGCAGCATTGTTTGGAAGGAGTACTGTGGCGGAACAGAAAAATTGGCTCTGTTAAGAGGTCAGGCGCATTCCCACTCCAGATCCACTGCGGAGAGCTGCAGCCTGGCGCAGTCAGTCGAGTGAGCAGCCAGCGGGTGCCCACTGTGGAGCCTGGAGACGCTGCAGTTACCCGTGCCAAACTGCACTAGGAACGTTACAGTTTGGCTCCCCATGGGGTCAAGGCAGCAACGCTAGAGTGGAAATGGTCACTAGGCACTTTCCTGGAGCAACAAACCAGCTTGTTATTCAGCTTTGTTTAGCCTCCTCTGTTACTTTCAGTGCAAAATGTTTCATGTGACTTTGATCAGGATTGGAATCCTTTTCTGAATGTAGTGTCCTGCGAGGTCTCTCCAAGCCCGGTCAGCTAGATGGATTGAATTCCCTGAATCAAGCCAGAAAAGGAAGCGTTTGCTCTTTGAGCAAAAGATGCCTGTAGATGCAGCAGCCACACCTGTTAAAAACAAGGCTGTCCTGAACAGTAATCATAATGACAGCCAGCATGGGTATGTTTGGAAAGCTGTTTGGCAAACCGGAGTCCTAACTCCCAACCCTGTGCCTTCCCAGGCGCTGCAGCGTTTATCACCACAGTGGTCAGCGGTGCCTCTTGCTGGGGCTGCCCGTTGAGTCTGCCTGCCAGCTGCTACGGGGGCATCAGAAGTGATGGAGCCGTGTGCCGTGAAATACACTTCAAAAGGGGTTGCAAGGGCAGCTCAGCTCCTTGCTGTGGTCTGTATGGACCTGTTTCCTGGAGGTTTCTGTATGGATTATTTGCTAATCAAAACTCCAACTGCAGAGCCCCATCAGGTCAGTGTGAGTGGAGACACCTGCATCTTTTCTAACATCTGAGACTGCCAGGGAAATAATTGTGCTATGCTTGTGGTGTTTTGTCTGCTGCTGGCTGCCTTGGAGATGCAGGCTGTTATTTTAATATTGTTGAAATTTAAGTGACTCATTTGACAGGCAAGAGAGCGAAGCACTGCGTGAACTCCCAGATTCCAGGTCCTGCTCTCGCGTGCAGCCTCTCCATTGCTCAGAAGGAATGTTTGCCCTCTGAGTCACTGCTCCGTTTAGGTACGTTGCAAAGGACCTCGGAGATCTGATGCATTTCACTGCTGATGTTTTGTGGCATCGAGCTTTTCCTCTTTTATTCTTATCAACCATTCTTATCAATCATTTTTTCAAGTAAATGAAGTAGAGAACCCCCTGGTGAACCTCTAGGCAAAATGGAGTTGTAAATGTTAATTCTTTACAGATGCAACTCCGATCATGCAAAAAGTAGTGAAAATTGCAGAGGCTTCAGAAGCTGGGGTTTTGCACCCCATTTCTGAATGCTTAGTTAAAACCACAGTAGTAGGTCTGGCTTCTGTTACTACAGCTTAAAAGGTAATTCCTGCCACTTCAGAAAGAAATCATCCAAATTATACAGAGCCAAAGAACCCTAAAATCTCTCTGTGGTTTTAAAAGGCACTAGAAGCAGGAGCAGTGTGTTGGAGATCCTTGCCTCAGCACCGCAGGTGTATGAGGCATTTTAGAGTGCCACGTTTCCTCCCTCTCTTAGGCGTTAAAATACTGGTTTTGTGTGTTAGCCTAGAATTCTGGAAAACAAAACATGGCCTTGTGGGGAAAGCTGACAGTATGGTATTGCTGAGCTCTGTGGTTTCTGAGAATCCTTCAGCTTCGCCTGAAGTCTCCTGGCAGTAAATAGCCCTCTCTTCCTACCACCAGCCTGGCTCACAGGGGGGTGTTGGTGCAGCTGAGAGCTGGAGTGTCACGTACACCAGGGTCTGAACATGCTGCGTCCAGCTCAGCTGCACAGGGCTCTGCCAACACTGCTACCACAGGTGTTTTGCTCACAACAGTGACAGTGAGAAGCTGTAGCCAAGTATTAGCTTGACTGTTGGCTATCTAAGGGCCACATGCTTGGAAACTTACAGTTATCCCGGTGGAGGGGGGGGAGGGAAAGGTGCTCAGAGCAAAGCCCTCCCAAATCTATACGTGCAGAGCACGCTTGAGCTGCTTATCTCTGTTCCACAGTTGGGAACCAAGCCCCAGCGGGATGAAACTCGCCCAAGGCCTTACAGAGGAGTGAGGAACAGACCTGAGTTCCCTTTGGCAAGTTTTCAGCGCTGTTTTAATAAGCTGTGATCAAATGCTGGCATGTCGTGAGGGCAGGGCAGGCTTATGGTTCTGGGAGCAGGGCTGCCTGCTGAGCTCCTGCACACGGTGGCCTGCGAAAGTCCAGTCGCTATACTATGGAACAGATTAGTTGGCTCTAGCTTCCCTAAACCAGAGTAGAAAACCACGAAGGGCTACCCTGCCTATGCTATGGGGAGGAGGAAATGTATTCTAAGTTGAGGTTGCTGCTAAGAGACCGAGGTAAAACTTAAACTAGCTTGTGCACTCCATGGCAAAGTGTATAATCTAACTTTGTAGGAACGCCCTGGAGCGCTCTGCTCAGCAGTGTTTCTAACGCTGCCTCCCGTACTACAAGGCTAAAGCACTTACAACAAGTTCTGTCTTCTCTGCTGCACAGCTGCTGTCCATTCCTGCAGTGCAGGTTCTTACTGTTATTTTCTAGGTAAAGATTTCCCCATTACACACTTTTTTTTCTTCTTCACCAAGAAAATGAATTCAGAGACTTTACATAATTTGCTATATGGTGTGTTGTTGCTTTGGGCTTATTCCAAATTAACCTCATGCCAAAAAAATCTCTGGCTTTGTGCTCTTTCGCGGACCGTCTGAAAAAGCAGTAGAACATAGAGAAAAGCTAGAGTCACCCTGATAATCATGTGAGGTGCCTTCTTCAAACGAGCTGCTGTCCGGCTGTGGGTATTCTGTGTGTTTGTGATTCCTTCTGCTAAATTTGGGCTCTTTTTGCTAAAGTCACTACAGTGCCTAAATTTTCCTTGCTGTCACTTTGCACTTGGCCCCATGCCAGCCTCAGCACAAGCGGCCCCGAGTGTGCAGTAAATTGTTTGGGACGGCCCTTGACAGCAAACCTCTTGGCCCTGGCTCAGGGAGTCTGGGGTTTTGTGAGCAGGAGCCTGGGAAAATGAGGAATATTTTTATTTTGTGCGCGTGCTCCGCTCATGACAGATGCGCAGCGCAGAGCACCACGTGGGGCTGATCCTACGTGTGCTTTTCTTTCTGCGTGTTGGAAGGATCGGTAGGGTAATACTTTGTTTTCGTGCGTAGCGGATATGACTTGGTACTTTTTAAAGATGAACACAGGACCGTCCCTGATCAATGCACTCTTTGCTTAGCGCTGGAACTCGCACTTTTTGCCTGAGGACCAAGTCCCATCACGCCCTCAGGGAAGTTATTAAACATGTTGTGACATCCAGGGATGCGTAGGCAAGTTTTTGCCCACTCACCATCACTGCTTCTAGCCTCGGATCATTCGTTAACGAACGCTCGAGTTACAGGACTGGGTTTCCAACAGCCTCAAAAAGCCCACCATGACGCCGCGCGGTGGCTTTCGCGGGGCTGATAGAGTCTCCATCTTTCACCTTATTCGTGTATCTGCCTACAACAATCTAACTAGCAAACAGTGGATTGTGAGATCAAGGTATTTTGATTTTTTTTTTTCTTATTCCATTTCTTACTTTTTTCTTTTTTTCCACTGATCATCTCAATCTGGACACAAACTACTAGCCGTGATTATTTTTTTTATGCTCGTTAAAAAGTGCGAGTTCACGCTCGTTGCGCTGCTGTTCGAGTAAATGTGAAGTGGTGGAAGTTTCTGAGATTTTGGTAAGAATATTTGTACACATTTCAAAATACTGTAAAGAAACCCAAGAAACATCTCTGTAATATCGTTTTGACTCTGGAAGAGGCTGAATTAAAAAACCCTGGAGTTCCTGAGTGGGTGGTACTGCTCTGACTCTCCTAATCCCTTTCAGAAGCGTTTGACCCCCGAGA